GAGGAGAAGGCCTGCCAACTCGAGCAAAATCGGACCTTCACCCCAAAATTTGTTCTTTGCTACCTCTGGGATTCGCGAGGAATGTTGTATTATGAGATGCTCCCGCAAAGACATACCGCTACCGGCAGCATTTACGCCAGTCAGCTCTAGAAACTAGCGGACGCTGTTCAAGAAAAACGACCGAGACGAACTTCTGTCCACCTACTCCACGATGACGCCAGGCCCCACATAGCTAAAGAGACCCGTGCAGAATTGGAAGAGCTGATCTGGGACGCGGTTCCCCACCCACCCTATTCCCCTGACATTGCCCTCTCTGATTATCACTTACTTTCATTCCCTTAAGGCACTTCCTAGCGAAGAAAAAATTCACCAAAGTTGAAGACGTTGAAAGAGCGGTCAGCGATTTCTTTGACTCTCAGTCTGCTCAGTTCTGGGAGAAGGAGATCGCTGACCTGCCCATTAGGTGGGACTCTGTAGTGAGTAACAATGGTGATTATATTGTTGAGTAGATTCCATTGTACGTGGAATAAAAAAGTAAAACACAAAAAAGTGTCGATCACGGCTCAGACTTTACTTAAGCATCCTGAATAATCGAACCAAATAGCTCAAGCATACTCCTTTTGAAAAATTTAGGCTTTCCTTTTTCAATAGCTTTCAAAATTCTCGTGAAGGTAGCAATCATGTAGAACTTCACTGACGTTTAATATGGTTGAGAGAAAGAGTGGTGTAGCGACACGCTGGACCACGCAAGGTCGACTTGTATAGGTCACATTGCAATAATGATGACTTAAACGACCTTTGAGTAAAAGCTAGGATGATGGGGAAGTTTTTTTTATTTACTAGGCATAGAGGAGAAAGATTCCGGTTCATTTTGTCGTTTGAAAGGCTTCTGATTTGAAAGCGAGGATCGTCACCTATCTAATCACAACAAATATCATATATGTGGAACAGTAAGCTGAACAAAAAGAACAGGGTTGCGATAAGATAAGATAAGATACAGCTGGATAAATATATGATTTGATTTTTGGTGCAATATTTGCGCTTCGTATGGAGTTCCCGTTTGCTGTTCTGAAATGCACCCACCCTTCAGCTCGTGTTGAAGAGAATCCGGTCCTACATATTTCTGTTCTTCTTTTTTTCGCGTTCTTTTGCAAAAAATTTCTCATCGGCGCCGAAATACTCGATTTTGCAATAGCTGTAGATAGTAGGTGCCGTGATTTCAGTGTTTACTGCTTCTAATGCACTTTGCAATGACGTTTTACACTTTTAAGACTGTGTGAGAGCAAGACTGTTGTTGCGTTAAGTGAAACGGTTTTTCCATCACGGCACGCTTCGTGTCGTAGCAATGTTATTCATGGCACTAAATGGTGTTTTGTGAACAGATTTAGAGGCTAAGGCGTATCAGGCTCGAATGGGATGTAGCACGAAGATGGTCTCTTCGTTGACTGAATTAGACGCGCAAATTGAATCGATTTTTTGACCGCTAGTCAAGACACGTCTCCATTTTCATCCACTCATCACTTATATATAGGTTAGATGACCGGAAGGGAAAATTCGCTAGTTTGTGAAGTGTAGTTGTTCTCTTTGTTTTGTTCTCCTTTTCTTGAAGCTTGTATTCCACTATTGAGTAGTTCTTGACAAAATGAAATCAAAAGAAAAAGTCCACTTATGGCGGTTTTCTTTGAGGGGTGCGCTAATGCTTTGATATTCACTAACCAACAACTCTCTATGAGGCCGCGCTTGTAGTTTGCGGCTTGGAAAATTAGGGTAGTATGCAGTTGGATTTTAGGTTATTAGTGGAGGTAGGATGTTCTGCTAAAAAGATTGGATGCGTATTGATTCAATGGGACGAATCGGTCGATGTGTGGTCCCTACTTTCTGCAGCGATTTGGAGTGCTGGCCGCGGCCGAGCGCGTGTGGTTGGGCCGATGTCGATAGCACCCCGCGCGCGAACTGTTGCATATAGGCCGATGTCATAGTTTGCGAATCGAGCGATTCGCTAGCGAATCGCTCGATCCGAGCGTTGCGCCAGCGAATCGAACGTTGCACCAGCGAATCGAACTTTGCGCCAGCGAGTCGAACGATGTACCAGCGAGTCGAACTAGGTACCAGCGACTCAATAGTGGCGGGACCCAACGTTTAAAGGAAGCCCGCCACTTTCAAACAGTGTCACGTGACAGTGGACGCTGTTTGAAAGTGGGGGAGTTGACAGTGGGCACTGTTTGAAAGTGGCGGGCTTCCTTTAAAAGTTGGGTCCCGCCACTATTGAGTCGCTGGTACCTAGTTCGACTCGCTGGTACATCGTTCGACTCGCTGGCGCAAAGTTCGATTCGCTGGTGCAACGTTCGATTCGCTGGTGCAACGTTCGATTCGCTGACGCAACGCTCGGATCGAGCGATTCGCTAGCGAATCGCTCGATTCGCAAACTATGACATCGGCCTAAATTTGAAAAACGCATCACCACCACAGTTCGCGGGCACTATCGACTCGTCCGCGCTCGCCGCGGCCGCGCCCCAAATCGTGCAGAAAGTATGGGAGCCTCGATGTGTTAGTTAAGCCAATCTCGGCGTATCTATCTTCTGCCCTAGCGAATTCATTTGATACGTTTCTGACCTTTCAAGTTAACTGTCCTACTCTGCTGCCATCCTAAACTTCCTGTCAATATATAACTTTTTTTTTTATTATTTTCGCATACTATCCTGATTTCCGAGGTCGCGAATAATGAACGCTGCCTATGCTTTTTGGTTTTCATTTTTGTGTAGTTTTCATAGTTACGTCATACCCATTCAAGTACCGGTCCTAGGAATTCCATGAAAGCGAGGGGGTGTGAGAACAGATGTTTGTTATAATCAGGACTAGTTAAAGCTTCATCATCCACTTATTGCAGCTCTCCTAATTTTCCAATCCTTACTTTGTCTTTCATGTCTTGCGTGGCTCTGAGGAATAAAGTCAGTATAAAAGACCATGCTGGGGATATCATCATAGTCTCGTATGCCGATGTCAGACTTGGAATGCGTGATCGCTGGTATACGAACGTTGCACCAGCGAATCGAACGAAGTACCAGCGACTCAACACTGTTCCAAAGCGGCGGGACCCAACATTTGAAGAAAGTCCCACCATTTTAAAATAAGTGTTGTGTTCCTTCTAGAGTGGATTTCCTTTAAAACGTGGGGATCCCACCACTTTCAAACAGGTTGTGGGTCTCTGCTCATCGTTCTATTCCGCTCGCGAGCACAAGTTCGCGTTGCGCTGCGCCTACACAGCTTCGGATCGCCGCTACAGCGCTGGTGTCAGCGAATCGCAAGTCTGACAGCGTTATTGAAGAAGTCGAACCTGGTGAACTATTTTCAATTCTTCACTTCACGGCACACATTCTGGGCTCTGTGGTTTCCTTTTCTGATATCTGAAGGTTTTTCTACACTATCCAAAAATCTATATGAAAGCTATTTCAATACACCTCCATTATGCCCTTGAAGTCGAGTTCAAGTCTTACTAGAAAAATAGGTCATGGTCGAGAATTGATTTGAGCGGGATTTTGCTAAGCTTTGCCAAGTTTTTAATGATCGGTAACATTGCGCAGTCGCTTTGTGGACGCTTCCGTTTTACCACCTGAATAGGTCAGAGTGTTTTTTCACATTTCATTATAGAATATGAGTGGGATGAGATGGTTGAAGAGAAAGCACTATAAGAAAATTCTGAAAGGGATGGACGAGAGCGCTAAAATTTCGAACTTGATCGACCTGGCATTACTTGACTTCGTTTCGACGTGTGACCTAGCTTGATGTGAAGCCTTTTGCAGGACGCGTTCTACCAGGTGCCAGTGGGAATCATTGTATGGAGTCGAAATGACGGGAGATTCACCTAAGCCGCAAATTGTTTATTGACTTCCTCGGCTCTTTAAATGTGACATTACCTCTTATTTTCCTGGTATTTTGATAGAAGTAATGCCAAGTGTGGGCCGAACAGCTGAGAAGAGTTCCGCGAAGGAGCTGTCAGTATTCACGTGTTAGTCGCCATGTACGGCCTACCTAAACTACGGCAAGGCCTAGTTATTGTTTTATACTCGCAAAGTTTGATATTAAACGTCAGGTTCTACACGAGTGCTACCTTCACGAGAATTTTGAAAGCCATTGAAAAAGGAAAGCCTAAATTTTTTAAAAGGAGTATGCTTGAGCTATTTGGTTCGATACTATATGTTTACATCTTACGTTAGGTGCTATACATTTCCTTACACATAAGCAATGTGAACAGTGCAGAAATCGTTTTCAGAGTTACAGGATT